CCAGCCGTTGGGCGGGTCGCGCCCCGCCCCCTCCCCCCCCCTCGCGCCCCGCCCCCTTCCCCGCCCTCGCGCCGGCGGGGCCCGTAGGTTTTACCTCAGGATGACCGGCGGCCGCCCCCGCCGCGGTTCCGCACGGCTCTGGCCGGGCCCCGGTCGTCGCGCTGCTGGCTGCTCGTCCGGGCGGCTGCGAGTGAGGGGCTGCCCCGCGGGCGGTGTCGCTCCGCGGCTGAGGGCGGCTGCACACCGCCGGGAAAGGGCCTCAGGTTCAGGGCCCCGGGTTCAGGGCCCGCCCGGGTACATCTTCATTGGGAACCCCCGGCCGGGCCGGCAGACCCCTAACACGGACCCATGCGGTGTCGGCAGCCCCTTGTGGGCTCGGTGGTCTTCTGAGGAAACTGAATTTGCTTTTGCCCCTTCAAGCACCCCCACGAGTGCAACATGTACGTGCTGTGCCGTGAAGTGGCACCCATGGCCTTTGGACTATCTCTGTAGAGCGAGTAATGCCATCAACATCACTGCACGTTGGGGGAGATGATAAATTTTAGCACCGCCCTGGGGGGGGGATCATGTAAGGTTTAAACCACGTTGGAGCCAGAGTCCTAGCATTCAAGAGGTTTGCTCGACAGATTTTGAGCAAACAGAACGCAATATTTTGCAGGTATGGACCCATTCTGCTTTCTTGTACAGAAAATAGCAAAGACCAAGAGATTTGTAGCCTTGGGGCCATCAGCTGCAGGGCTAATAAACCATGATTAGGGAACTTTTTAGTAGAGGCTGTTTTTTCACTTTGATTCTTCTCAAGCAGTAATGTTGTTGCTGTGAAGATTGATGGATATAAGCAAAGCATGGTCTGCAGGGGAAGGCAGACTTTTTATTAGCACAGCTGATGCCACCAGACCAGACTAGCTTTCGAGCACCCCAGCCTTTTTGTAGCTTTACAAAAGGACTTTAACACCAGAGTGCTTAACCCCCAGCAGAATCTGCTACGCATGACAGATACCTGAACTTTATTTAGGAGTTGCCAGCCTTCTCTACCCTGTGTGTCACATACCCGGTCCTCCCATCTAGGTGTGTTTGAGAGGTACCTCTGAAAGCCCAAGGCTGGAGGATCATCAATGGCATCCCACTGGTCCTGCTGGTTGGTGGGCTGGGAAAAGGCAGGGATACCAGCCTCAGCAGCTCTGGCTAGTTCACTTCCTCCTGCAGCCAAGGGGTGCACAGCAGTCCTCTGTCCTGGCCACAGCACAGTCCTGCCACCACTCACATGGCACAGCCTGGGCACAAGAGCTGCCAAGTTGTGTGTGAGAGCCAAAGCCACCCTGCAGACAGCTGCTGGGGGCATGAATTCACCCGGGAGGGAGCCATGCAAACTGGTTAATGGGACGCATCTGTACCCCCTGTCCACTCTGGGCCTCAGAGGATTATAACTGCCCTCTACTCAGATCTCGACTCTACAGCCTTTCGCAGAGGTAGATGCACAAATGAGTGTGTTTTTCAACAGCTGGACTATATTTGCTACCTTTATTTCAAAGCTGTTGGCGGTGGCAGCACTCACCAGGTGGCAGGGAAGGCTGCAGCTGGAGGCACCCGTTGGACAGCACAGAACGATCAGAAGATAACGCAGTCATCTGAGAGGAGAAACCTAGATTCCAGCCCTGCTTTGCAGCATGTTTATGCATTTTATATTACAGACCCACTGGAAAAAACCCAGACCTTCACAGGAGCTGGGGTAGGAACCTGGCAGTCTGGTTTCCTCTTTCCCCAAGTGAAGACCCCAATCAATAGCCTAAAGCTGTTCCTCAGTAAGTGACTGTTTGATTATTCTGTACAAACTAAGACAAGATCTACAAGAAAAAACAGTACATGTGTCTTTGAGAACACTCAAAGGCTTTAGCTAGGGCTTTCCCACAGGTAACAGGAGATGCAGAGGAAGACCTCCTTGGAGGAAGACTATTTATTCCCAATCACCTGCTGAGAAAGAAATGCTCTCGTTATCAAACTATTATTTAAATGCAGAGCTGCTTCTCTTCCAGCTGCAGCTTTTTGTGTGAGGAGTGGTGCCCTCTGTTGTTCTAGGAAGAAGCTGCTATGAGTTAGGGGACTGAAAGCATGAACGTGAGGTTGGTTTGCTTTTTCCAGGACTGCAAACTCTTACAGATGCTCTGGCTTTGACATACAGACAGTTTGCAGCGTCTGTCATGCTGGTGAATTCAGTTTCCAGAGTGAAGTCAGGAAGGAGTCCATCTGTAGTGGAGCATATGCCAACGTGAGTAGGAAAAGACTGTTTTATAACACAGTGCTTAAAAAAATAGAAAAGGTGTGTAGAATAGATAAGAACTGCTTATTACAGGTGCCAACAAGGAAACTGAAGAGTATGGGAATGTGTGTGGGCAAAGGTCAAAGTTAAGGCTGCCTGTGCCTCCTTCAACACCTCCTGACATCTGAGAGAGAAGGAGCTACCATGCCCCAACAAGCTGCCATCATCAGACAGTCCTTGTGGGCACTCCTGGTCCATCTGTAAAGAAAAACACATCATTGGTGTGAACCTGGGCTGCACGTGTCTCTGCCCCTTGGCACAACAGAAGCTGTTATGTTTGGGTTGCAATTTGTTCTACTGAGCAGAGACATAAGAAAGTAAAGATACATCCATCTATCTGCAAAACGTGAAGTGGCTTTGCAAGATGCCTAACACAAGTGGTCACGGGGCCAATTCCAGTGTTGGAGATTACAAGGTAAGTACAGTTATTTAAAATGACCTTTGAGAGCAATCTGTGTGCCGTGCCCCGGGAGCCATCGGTGGAAAACATGCTCCCATCAGTATCCTGCCAGGCCCAGAAGGTATTTCCCTAAGTCCAGCTGTTTGCTGTGATTGCTGAACACGCTGAGTCTGCAATAACTGTTTTTAAAAGTACACAGTAATGTCATGGGGTTGCTTGAGGTTAGTAACCCCAGGGCAATAACATTTGAAGGGGTAGAGGGCAATTCAGTTGCCTGTCAAGTCAGGGAGAAGGTACTGCAGATCCCTTCCTTTTATTTTATTCGGTGATCATCTCTACCTTTTCTCCAGGAAGAAAGCTGCCTGCTCTGGAACGGCATGCTGGTGGTTTAGGGCTACCCTAGCATTTTTCCTACCAGGTACAGTCAAATTACTTGTATTTGTACAAGCCTTGTATTACTTGTATTTGTACAACCAGTCACAAGTGGTGTTCCTCAAGGGTCCGTGCTGGGACCGGTGCTGTTTAACATTTTTATCAATGATATAGACAGGGAGATTAAAGGCACCATCAGCAAGTTTGCGGATGATACCAAGCTGTGTGGTGGTGTCGATACACCAGAGGGATGGGATGTCATCCAAAAGGACCTGGACAGGCTGGAGAGGTGGGCCCAGGTGAACCTCATGAGGTTCAACAAGAGCAAATGCAAGGTTCTGCACCTGGGCCGGAACAATCCTCACCACCAATACAAACTGGGGGGTGAGGTATTAGAAAGCAGCCCTGAGGAAAGGGACTTGGGGGTGCTGGTGGATGAGAAGCTGGACATGAGCAGGCAGTGGGCACTTGCAGCCCAGAAGGCCAATCCCATCCTGGGCTGCATCAAAAGAAGCGTTGCCAGCAGGTCCAGAGAGGGGATTCTGCCACTTTGCTCTGCTCTGGTGAGACCTCACCTGGAGTATTGTGTGCAGGTCTGGAGCCCTCAATATAAGAAGGATATGGACCTGGTGGAGAGGGTCCAGAGGAGGGCCACAAGGATGATCAGGGGGATGGAGCACCTCTGCTACGAGGACAGGCTGAGGGAGCTGGGGTTGTTCAGCCTGGAGAAGAGGAGGCTCCGGGGAGACCTAATAGCGGCCTTCCAGTACCTGAAGGGGGCCTACAGGAAGGCTGGGGAGAACCTGTTTAGAAAGGCCTGCAGTGACAGGACGAGGGGCAATGGCTTCAAGCTGGAGGGGAACAGATTTAGACTGGAGATGAGGAGAGGGTTCTTCACTGTGAGGGTGGTGGAGCACTGGAACAGGTTGCCCAGGGAGGTGGTTGAGGCCCCTTCCCTGGAGATATTCAAGGAGAGGCTCGACGAGGCCCTGGGCAACCTGGTCTAGTTGGGGGTGTCCCTGCTGACTGCGGGGGGGTCGGACTAGATGGCCTTTGGATGTCCCTTCCGGCCTGGGCAATTCTATGATTCTATAAAGAGAGGATCTCCTCCCTTTCCCCAGATGCTCCCGATGAGGTGCACGTGACGGTGCCTTCAAGATGCGTGCCAGCCCCTTCGGCTGAAGGCACCTCCATGTTACAGGAGATTCTCAAGCTTCTGGCTGGGCCAGAAAGAGCAGAAAGGCAGTTCAGAACCACTGCCTCACACCTGCATGCTGCACGGCCAAGAACAGAAATACATTTTTTCCTTCTGATCTATCCCTGTTACCAGTACTGTGAGGTACGTGAAACTGCAATTCAGCCACACAGTAGTGAACCAGAGCAGGAACATCACTGTGAAATGCCAACTTTTTTGGATTTATGGTTTCAAACCATACTGTAGTTTCTTGGGTGGCTTGAAATCTAAATATAATCACAGTTGGCTCTGTCTGGTTTTGCTGCATGGCTTTCCTAGCAGAACAGGTGACTTGCATACGCTGACAAGAGAAGCAGTAAGCTACACAGTTACCTGAGGAAGAAATCAAAAAAGACTTAAATTTTTAACCCCAAACACAGCCACCCTCAGAATTGCATTGCTCAGATGGCGTTCCTTTTACTAATCCCTCTCAGTTACCTTTTCACCTTCTGGCTTCAATCAGACCCGGAGGCTGTGCAATGCACTGGACCCATCTCCTGTGCATCAGAGAGTATGTGTGCATTTCTATAGCCAAAATGAGAAACAACAATGCCAGGAAGCTTTCCCTTATTCTTAGTTCAGGCTCTAAGAATATTTTGCATCTCAAAGGTGGAAAAACTGATGGAAGTAACTGGAGTCTTGATGATGTGCACTACAAGAAAACACTAACCTGACACTTCATCACACAATAGCTTGTTATTATTGTTGTTATTTTTTACTTCCCCGCTTTGCAGTCTCTGCCAAAGAATTTAAAATAAATGGGCTTAATTCTACAAGGAGCTGAACAAGTCCTGCATATGCTGAAACCATTGTGCTAAAATCAATGGTAGATGACATGCATTTTGCAGGGTAAATCTTTAAGTTTAAAACAGACTAATTAGATCTCAAAGGTAAAAACTGTATCGTTTGAACCTGGCACGACGCTTGCAAAAGGAGAGATTAAGAGTCACTTCTTTTGAAGTGCTTAGATTGTTTAGTTTGCAAGGGAGATAAATCCTCTGCTATCAGGAAGAGGTTTAACTGAAGGGTCAGGGAAAGCTTCCCCTCAGAGGAGGTTATTTTGGTACCTCCAGCCCGAGGTACCGTTTCCTGTTGAGCTGCCTGTGCCCGTTCAGCTCTTGCCAGAGCGCTAGAGGCTGAGCACGAGGCCAGGTGGCCCTCCAGCCCTC